TTTGCCTTGCCTAAAATATGAAAATGAAAGTACATAAACACTTAAAATTAGTAATTGTTTCACCTAATGTAAGTGTTTTGTAAGTGTTTGCACCTGTTGGCCACCGTACTATTTAACCCTTAGATGCATAAGTGGGTCTTTTTGGACCCGGTGAGGTGGTTTTCTTGAAGTATCTTTGTAATTACATTTTATTATCATTTCATATTCCAGCTATTCCTCAAAAAACATGTTTTGGATATCATGCCATTCACATTTTAAATTTAAATTTTAAGAAATTGTAGTTTTTGTATTACTACCCCAAGCTTCCATAAGTGGGTCAAAAATGACCCGCATGCATTTTCTATGGAATTTCGTTTTGTTTTTTTAAATGTAAAAAAAAAGTCTAAAATTATAAATAGTGAAAAATTAAATATGAAATATTTCTAGTGTGAAACTAAATATAATACTAAATATTATAAAAGTGATTTTTCTTAACCAAAAGGACAAAAATGGCATAAAAACACATATTATTCTAATACGGGTCCTTTTTGACCCACTTATGGAAGAGTGTAGGGTCCAGTCACTCGGGCATCGAAGGGTTAACTTAAAGCCGAAATATCATTTCATTTTGTAAATGAACTGCCACAAATGTAACAATAAATCTGTTAACATTACTTTGTTATATTACAATAGCTTTGTTGTCATGCTTAAAGTACACAGTATATATGATTTTGAAAATCTCCCTACCATTACTTTCAGAGTAGGAGATTCAACATCTTGCTCCTAAATGTTTTATAGGAGACGTATAAAGTGACATTAAATGTGATAGTACCCAGCGTGGGCCTTGGCTTTGTGTTTGGTGCATGCAGAGGCACACCTCAATAAGAATGTATAGCTCAAATATATAAAGATGACAGCTGGGTGGGTGTACCACAGCTGGCAGGCTGCTCCATACCTCACCACGGAGGAAATCACGTTAGCTGTCAACGTGACTGCTGCCGCCACGCTGTACCTCCATTATGATGCACCGTGTTTATCGTGTTCTCCCCTTTCTCCTGCAGCTCGGAGCAATGTTTAGAACAACAGGAGCTAAGACAAAGTGCAAACTGGCCTGTAAGACAAGAAGAGCCTTTAAGCAAAGAGGGCTTACCCCTAAGCCTCCAGATCACACAGATGGCTGGATGTTGAGGTTTGGCACCCAGACATAACGCCTGCCTCCATTTCGGACATGCTCAAACTTGCCCACAACCTTCTTAAGCCAATGCATCTCTTTTGTAAACCTGACAAAAGCTGAGATGCAGTGAATCCAGAGCAGCAGGTGACAGGGTGTATATCTGTGTTCCAGCATTGTTTCTCTGAGCATCACCAGGTGTACTTTGTGCTGTGAGCCTGGCCACTGAAACGACTGCTTTAATTGTGTTAGGGTGCAGAAAGTGGCTCTTTAGTGTTTCCAGTGATCACAGCAACGTATTGATTCAATAACTAGCACAAAAAAGGTGGGAATTGATTTGACTCACGTCGTTAACAAAGCCTGAGAGCAGCAAAACACCCAAGTGATTATTTGTATCCTCCCATTCTTTTTTTCACCTTTAACAAGATTGTAGAGTCCCAGCCAGTGCCTGCAGGACATATGACACAAACAGCCCTTTGAAAGGAGGCGGGATTGACACCAATAGATCAAATACAACATGTGGAAGCATCATTTAGGTACATCTTGGAGGAACAATCCAAAAAGCATGATTTTCAACTTGATGTTGCCGTCCAGAAATATTTATTTGAATATCAAGTTGTTTCTTTACCACCTTTGTGCCTTTGCTGTATTTGAACAACTAATGGACAACTCTCCCATTCATTTATCCTGCATTCATACCTTGTACTTGACCTGAATCAATAATGGCATACTCATTATTTCCCATTCTTCACGGATTACACCGGGACGTTCGAAGGGTTACAGCTTTGTCATACAGGATTGCAGAATGAAAAGCACTTGTAGCCATTAGTAATAAATACATATTGTTTACAACGAATACATGTGTGTTTGTTCAGAAAAACACTTTCAATTCATTCTTACCCAGAACATCCAGCTCCCATGTGTTTTGAATCACTGACAATGGCACTCACACAACATATGAATACACACTACACACACTAATGCTCTCACCTTCACCTTGTGTTAAAGCTTTTTTATTAATGGAGGCCAAACAGAGAAGGTAGAGATGATAGACAGCAGCCACATTGTTTGGGATTACTGTGAAAGCATTGTGAGCGTAATAACAGGGTTTATCATGAAAGCATATTGCAGACCCCGTTGCTGATTGTCCAGCTTCATTGTTTCGAAACAATACAAGCAGATGAAATATAGATCCACTTTGAGAGGAAAATCCTCAACACTTTTATTAATGTTTATATTACATTTGGTCGGCGATATAATGCCTGCAACACCCCTTTCACACATTAATACGGTCGACTTGCTCAGACCGGCAAAATTGAAGATAGAAATAACCTTTTTTTGCTCCTTCGCTTTCAGCAGTAACACTTCAGAAAATACAATATAGCAGCAGACAACTTTTTCTATGTAAAGATATACATTTATAGATTTGCCTGTCCCACTGTTTTGGCCAAACTTGACCCACTCTACCATGCTGCACTGCGTTATATATCAAATGCACCGTATAGGACTCATCATTGCACACTGTATAGCCTAACTGGATGGTCCTCACTTAGTATGCGTAGGATGCAGCATTGGTTTTAGGTAAGCTTCCACTGTATATATGTGCCAGATTTGCTCCAGTTTGCGACTCTCACAACCTCAGACCCAGTGCCTGGATACGGGTCCAGGTTCCTGCCGTGCGGACTGAGGCTGGAAAAAGGAGTCTTTCTTATTATGGTCCTTGGTCTTGAAATTACCTTCAATCAAGCCTCAAACTGAGGGCACTTGTCTCTATAGCATGTTTTAAATTGAAGTAGGTCCTTACCACCAGCTGCTCTTGCAGTAACAAGTAGTGTACCTTTCTTACTGTCCTAATGTGCACAATGTAGGGACTGCTTTTTCGTCTTTTGTTTTCTTAGTTGTGTTCTCTGTATTTGATATGTTTGTGTTATGTGTTATGTGTTATGTGTAAAGTGTAACGTTGCTGCCTTCTTGGCCAGGTCAGCATTGAAAATGAGATTTTATCTCAATGCTTTTTTATCTGGTTAAATAAAGGTTAAATTAAAAAAAACTACAACTACAAAGAAATCTGAGAACCATGAAGAAACAGTTTTCCCTAAATAATAAAGTTGGCTATTAGGCTTTTGATCTATTATTATTTAAGGAGGTGAATCCTTGCTCCAAATTAAGTCGGTAGTCCTCTTGACCTTATTAAAATATGAATCTTTTTTGGGAACCATTGAGTTTTCCATTGTACTCTTTTAGTTGAAGACATCACCCTCTGCATGTAAAGGTCAAATCTGTCTCAAATGCTAATAGGTTAAGAAACTCGAGATATCTTTCTCATGTAATGACTTAGAAAATAGTCGTAGCTTTTGACTTTTCACAGGAAAAAAAGGAAATAGGTGATGGAATTAATTCCATAGCAGTTTTGATTTTAGTTTACCATTTTACATATAATATGCACTACTGCAAGCATGGGAGTACACATGGGATATGGAGAAATAAAAGGCAGCATGAGAGCATTCAAAGTAAACTTGGACTCAACAAAAATAACCTATGATCTCACGACAACAAAAAAACTCAGATGAAATGAAACTTTTAGTTTTTTTGGTTTGTGCAAAGCCTATTTTCCCATCAATATTAATGGTCTCATGCCGAGCCTGGCAGGGAGGCCTGTCACAGAGACTGAGCATGAAGCTGTGCTGAAGTCCGGTCAGCTGTGAGAGCGAGTCGATCAGCAGTGACACTGACAGCAAGAGAGGGCTGGAGAAGGTGGAAAAGATGAAGGAGATGGAGCTGTCTAACGCTGCAGACAGGAAGCCAGGATGGATGCAGGGCTCTGGTGCAAGGGACAGATGATTCTTTATCCCTTTATTGACACAACTTGTCATGGAAGACACATCATCTGTCTTCCCCCCCTCTCTGTTTGTATGTTTTGATGATCTTAATTGTTATTGCACCATTCTCATGCATTATTACAAGAGGGCGAGTCAGTGCAATTTGGTAAATGGACTTTTTTCATCATGCAAAGCAAACAACTTATTAGGAAATGCATCTGTATATCTTCTTACTGTTTGCTTCACATGTCATGCAGCTTAGTTTCTACATTAGCCAGAGGGGCACCAAGACATCCCTCTCGGCATCTCTGTGCATATTTCTAATTATGTCAAAGCTGTTGAATATCCGTATGTCGAATTGAAGTTTTACAGAGTTGTATTTATTTATTTAATGCTCATATAGTCACCAATGTTCATCAGCCTTGTGCAAACTTTGATATTATTGCATGTGCCAGAAAAGCACCGTATTGATTACTTCAGGTCATGTTTTTTCGTATCTTGTTGTGTGTGTTGAGGTCGAAACGTTGGTATTTCAGGGTAACCAACCAACTCAGTGAATTTATCAGGGAGCACATGAAGCTTAGGACTTGAAGAGACGAAAGTATCTTGGTGAAGCAATGAGGAGACGGAAACCAAAGACAAATTTAAATGTCCATCTTGTTGCCTTTCCTTGACTGACACTACAGAATTAGCGCCCCCTACTGTTTACCTCCACAAACCATCTTCTAAAATGTGCATATCATTAGTGAATAGATGCGGTTTTTCTGAACATTTAATAAAATGTATGTTTTGTTGGAGACCTGGATACTGTCATCACAGAAGTGAAGAGGAGTCACTTCCAGAACAATTACACGATGTCCTCTTACTTACAGCATCCTCCTTTAACCACATTAGTCCATCACTGACAGCCCAGTTAACAGACTGGCTCCTGGGACTCAGTCTGGAGGAGTTGTGAATTAAAGGGGATATAGGAGAGGCGGATACAGAAGCAGCTCTTTACGCACAGAGAGAAGCGCAGTCCGATGGAGAGGCAGCGGTTCATCTCTCTGCGGGAACACACTTAAAACACACACTTACACACGCTTCCTCCACACACACACTTTTACATATCTACGGGACTTATCTTTGTTGAGAAATCTCTAAGAACTAAAGACAGAATGGATGCTTCCCAGCTTTTCTTTATACTGCTCTTCTACGGATTTCTGCCAAAAGTAAGTAGGAGATCCTTTACTTGAGCGATATTCTTTTTTTAATGTGATTTTAAATATTGTACGGTTTGTGGTGAAGAACGAGTTTTTTTAAGCCAGTAATTATTAGTTTGCATGGTTATTAAAGCCACTTTTTATATTGTAAGCACAGGAGAAGTGCGATGAGAACCACATTTTGTTCAATTTGGAAGTCATTTTTCCATATTTTGTAGGTAGCTCCGTTTTATGAGTCGCTATGACGACAATTCATGTTATTTTATGATGACTTGTGTTTTGGCTTCCTCCTAAATCTATTTTGCGGTCATTGCTGCAGGGCAAATGTGTATTCGGCCGTTAAAGTCATGTATCATCTGTCCTTAGGAAAACTCCAAATGAAATAAGTGTTAAGTGTTTTTTCTCTGCTCACATTGTCAGTAAATAGCCAATCAGATCTGTCTATGAGTTGACGCACTTTTATCTGTCGTCAGAAGTCAATCCCTTTATAAGAAACTCTTTAATTTCCTGTTCTTTGACTACTTGCTATTTAAAAGATGACCATGAAGATGTTTCAATGGCAGTCTGATAACTGGTGAATCAGAAGCCTTTTCCATTTGAAGCGTTTTTCATTTACTGAAGGTCAAACTGTTGAATTGGATTCAATACTCTTGATTAAGATTCAACTTATTGTCGTTACGTAGTACAGGTATTATGTAACGAAACGGTTTCTCTGCATTTGACCCATCCTAGTGTTAGGAGCAGTGGGCTACCATTATGTACGGAGCCCGGGGAGCAGTGTAGGGAACGGTGCCTTGCTCAGGGACACCTCGGTAGCACTTGGTCTTTCCGGGACTCAAACTGGTGACCTTCCAGTTGCCAAGCCAAGTCCCCTATGGACTTCGCCATCACCGCCCTTAGAATTAATCTAAGCACAGAAAAGTACTGACTTCTTACACATAGGGTATGTAGAGTCATTTAATTGAACTGAAATCACAATTTCTTCATGTTGTTTTAGGGAAAGTGTGTATGCATTGCACTGTGGTGAAAACTAAGTCCCATTTCAGTGCAGTAGAGTTTTGCTGCAGGCATTTTTGTGGGCGTATGAGCATGGTGGGAATAGAATAAACAATCTTTGAGGGACTTTGAAGTGAAATCATCCGTCTTCCTGCAGCACGATGGGAGTATCTTTTTGCCCTGCTCTAAGTTGCCTTGGGTTTTTGTTCTGACAGGTAGGTCTATCAATGTGAGAAGGAAAGACAACAGACCATTTTAGTAAAGAAAATCCTTTTGGAGCCTCTTTTATGCTTTTGGGTGTTTCCCTTTCCTGTAGTGTGTGTTATGTCGTTTTTTTGTATATGTAAATGGTCTGCAAAGGCTAAAATCCATGTGTTCCCTCCAGAGGGAGTTTCTCTCCCACACAGCTCAGGCAGTATGAGAAAAATGAAGAGCTTTTTTGAACATTAAAGCATGGAAACATGTCACAGCAGAGACAATACATACAAATATGAACCTGAAAATGAGCATCATATGTCCTCTTAACATTTGAGATTATACTTGGCTGCTGGTTGTGTATTTTGAGTAAGTCATTTGACACTCGGCATTACTTCCCTAAACGCTTGTCAATGCGGCTATTTCCTGGCAGAATAGACTGTGAGCATCCAAGTGACTGTGTGAAAATGTGCTTCTCACTTCTGTCAACTCTCGGATGTCTGGCCCACCCCGAGGCTTAAAAGAACCAACGCCATACGTCATGTGTTGACATATTTTAGCGACTCGAGCACTGATGCTCCACTACATTGTGCCTTTCACCTTCCTGCTTTACAATAACATAATGTGAACGTGTACATCTCCGTTTAGTGAGCCCTCACTCAGGGTTACGGTTTGAATTGACAAAGAGCTGTGCCCCAGCGCCTGCAGAGACATAGTTCCAGCACAAATCTCTGTCTGTTAGTGCTGCGATTATACAAACAAGATATTGCGTTTCAGCGTTGTAGCGGCTGCTATGCATATTTTGTACTCCTGGCAGGACACTTTAGATGTTTCCCCCCTGTGCCCACTCTTTATGCTAAACTAATTGGCTATGTGTAGCTTCATGCAGACACTCCAGAGTGGTATTGATCTCCTCATGTCAAACTTTAGAAAACTAACACGTCCGTTTCCTAGAACTACACTATTTATTAGAGACACTTGGGAGATGCAGTTTACTCCATATCACACATTTTAATTTCCTGTCAGGTTTGTTTGGCAGGAAGAGTCCGATGCACACACTTAGTGGAACAACGTGAGGCTGAAGCAGCAGATGGTAGATGTGGCTCTCAGTGAAGTGTAGGATAAACACATTACTCTGCATTGTGACACAACGTCCAGCTCTCCTCATACTCTCAAACAAAGCAAGACCATTTCATATTAAAAACTCAAAGCCTGGCAGCCCTCGTGGTGAGCGAACTCTCGTGGCTGGCAGGTATTTATGTGATGTTTTGCTCATGGAGACACTGTGCGAGTCCCTTAGATCATTAATCATCTGCATTGTTTTGGATGTTGATTCATTGCCCATTAAGGTAATGAATCAAAGTGTACATATTACAGCATCTTGAGGCACTTAGTATTTGTCATCAGTGTTTTTGAATTCAAGCATAAACCCCTGGTACAGAATCCAAAGTACTCCACATTCAACCACTCCGATGAATATTGTGTTATCATCTCCCTCTTTGTGTGTTCTGGCTCTACGTACATGCTTGTTCATAAAAACATGTTCTTACTCAATATCTTACCCAAGCCTAACCCTATGCATTTTATTTTAAATTGTATAATGTCTGAGTTCTTTTGCCGTCAGTGAGGAAAAGAAATGGCTCAGAGCCTCAGAATACTGACATCTGTATTTTATGTCATCTTTTTTTCCTTCTAATTTGTTATTATTTGGTGCAGGCACGAAACACACTACCAATATAAATACATTGCTTCTAAAATCGTTCTGTGTCAGAATACTGAAATCTGTATTTTTTTAAATGTCTTTTTCCTTCTAATTTGTTATTATTTACATTGCTTTTAAAATCGTTCTGTGTGACACGAAAAAAATGGCGAAATCGTGTTGGTGAACACGAATCAATAGATTAATTTCGTGACTATAACACGAAATGCCGTGAGACTGTGTTGTTATGAACTAATAAACTATGAGGAGAGTTTGATCCCAGCAGCCTTCTACAAGTCCTTGCAGAGATTCCTGTATCATGTCTACCCCCCCAATCCATTTTGTTCCTGCTGTTTTTGCAGCATTAACAGACTAAATACACGTTTGTTGCTATTGGTTTGCATTCTCCAAAAGCCTGAAGAAACAAAAACATCTCTCCAATTTCATATCCAATTAAACTGGGAATCTGGGCTCTACGCTGGGGATTGGAGAGAAAGCCTTGTACTCGAAACACATAAGTTGTATGATTAGCCCTTTTTTTCACAGCAGACATTTTGACTTTGACCTTTCTAGTGTCCCAGTAAGGCTTGACAGTGTGACAGTGAGTCAGCATGCAGGGATGACGTAGCTTTTGAAGGCTAATCATACGGGAATCCTCGACAAAATCCAATGGGATAACCACAAACAAGTTAAAAAAACCTTGACTACGAGACGAGGGAACAGGAAGTGGTAAAATGATAAGTCCTTTCTGGGTCTTAGGACTCATTCCTGCACCACTTTATAGCTCAAACTTGAAACAGAAGCGTCATTAACTTTAATATTTAAACCAATGCATCTCCTATTGTCAAAACTGTGTGCCGAATAGTGGAACACATACAGTATAGTGCTACCATGTTAGCAACAATTGCCAAACGTTAGCATTTATTTGTCCTTTTTCTGGCCGTCTGGTGGATGAACGTGACATATTCAATCTGCTTTTTGCTCTGTTTTGGTCTCCACACCAGTTTCCAAATTAAAATATCACTTTATAGCCCTCAAAATCTCCACTTTGTCCACCAGCTAGTTGCTAACTTGTAATGTTTGTCAGTGTTTTTGAGCTGGAAACAGCAGTTAGAAAGAAAGCAGTGAGGCAACATTGTAGTTTTAAAACAATGAACTGAAGGATATGAAGGCTCTGCTGCTTTAACATGGTGCTACAAATAAATACTGCACCCGGTATTTTTTTCAGTAGTGAGATAAAGCCAGGGGTTACAGAGTCTATCGATTCTGTTAAGCCCTATGGAGCATAACATTTAAGTTTGGTTTGAACCTTGTTTACTTCATTTCTGGATTGGACTGAACCTGGCTTAGCTTCCTGAGGGGCTTCTGGACTCAAATCCTCCCTGGAGTGCTCTGTTGTAAAGTTGCCCAACAATTAATTTCATGCTAATCACAAATAAGGTTACCTAGGGGTTTGACCAACATGAGATTTCCTCCTCGGTCCGCTGATCTGCACAGAAAATGTTAGCAGATGTCTCCCGGCTGAAGTTACCTCAGGATATGTTGGATTTTCTGCTGTAATCGGTCGAAGACTCCTGTGAGCAAAGTGCTTTGGATTGTGATAGTGTCAGGGCGACCTCGTCCATTAGGAGGGAGCGAGTGAGGCGATGACTGAGTCTGTGGAGCAGTGATAACAAGGAGCTATGACATGCAGTTTTTTCTTCATATTTTCCATTAATGTTTAACTACAGGTGTTGCCCTTGAGGCAGTATTGTTTTAAAGCCTTTAGCTCATTTAGCAGCTGATTGTTGGCCTCGGGTATTTCTGCTCGCAGCTTTTCGACAGAATCGCTCATCAAAACAACTTCACACTCATCCCTGCACTACTCTGAGTCCTCATCAATACACCTGTCAAGATTGAAGTTGATCGGATAAATGGTTGTCATGCAGCTCGGCGTCAGAAGGGCAGAAGTACATACAAACAGAAAGAGAGCCCTTATTTTAGAAGATGGCTACAGCAGTGTTTTAGGAAGTCAGTCACATTTAACTTTTAAATCCTCAAAGCTCTTATGTGTAAGATTTAAAAGTTCCCCTCCAGAGAAACACAAATACATACTTGTGTGTGATGTGGTTTTACACAAAAAAAACTTCAATAACTGTCACGGCCTTCACCGAAAGTCCTTTTGCTTTCTCCATTCTTACCATGCTCAAATTTGTAGTGCACAATAAAATATCTGACGGTTATAAAATATTTAAAGGTTGGACATCTGTAGCCTCTATTCTCGTCTATTGAAAAGGCCTGTTAAGCCCCAAAGCCCCCGTCGGCGGGTCTTTCTTTTTTTCACAAATTAAAAATCTCTTTTTTTTTTTTTTTAAATCTTTAAATTTTTTATTAATTTTTTTAATTTAATTTTTTTTTCTTTGGATGAAATGAATACCTATGGTGATAATTCAATGTAATACATCATTTTTATAGTCTGGTACCTGAAAAAGGTCAAATGGCACTGATGGAACCAGATGTACCCAAATGTGCCGAAAGCTTATTCCGCCTGGAACTTTTTTTTGCTAAACCTCTCTAAAAAGGTCAAATTTAACTTGTTTTGCATCAATCTTGATACAGGGTACTTATTATATGTTATAGTTTGGATTCCTAAAGCTTTTAGTCTACCATCCCATCATTCAAGGGTGGTTTTCACTATAAGTAATGTTTTTTCTTTAGGCGGAGGTAAGAATTTACCTTTTTTTACTATGTTCCATCTGAATTTACTCTGACTGAGAAAAATCTATATTGATTCTGACACTTCTACATCCAACTCACAGATGTAACCTTGCTTTGATAAAAGAAATTATTCATATAACCCTTTTAGAAGTGAAGTTGTAGTCATTTGTTTTGGGCATGTCATTTTCTAGCCTGAAACCTGAAAAACAGGCTCGGGGCTTAACAGGTTTGAAGCAAAATCTGTTCTGACATAAAACACAGAACAATGGACGGCAGATGCTACATTTACAGATTTTAAAATGACGTCTCCGAGGGAAAGGATGTCTCTCTATGTCTTTATTGAATGTCTGTTCCCTTGACTCCTCTCTCCTCAATTCTCTTGAAAGGAATCAATGGCACACAAACAGGAGAATGGGAAAGGCTTCAAGGTCTCCCCTGTGTGAGTTTATCCTGCTCTCATTTCCCTCGTTTCCCCCTCCTACACACCTGCTCTGAATATGCCTCGTTAGACCCTCCCTGCTCCCTGAGGTTCTTCCCAGCCAATCAGATCCTCCCCTGCTCCCAGAGGTGATCTTCTGCCAATCAGCTCCCTGCCTGTCTGACCCGATTACCCACACTTGAGCTTCTCCTCCCATCTCACCTCCTTCACATCCTCCCCTCGTCACATTAGTTTTTATTTAGGTCTGCTCCTCAGATTTTGCGATTTCAAGAGTTTTTTCCGACTTTAAGATGTCGACTTAAGAGGTGAATTCACCCAGTTGGGAACTCATTCTTATTTTTCCAGTTTCCTGCACTCATTTAAATTATATTGTAAGACTCTTATGACGAATATGCATGTGTAAATATTGTTAATTTCACACATGTTATACTACATATTGGACGAGGATTGGCCTAGTTTAAAATCACGTCATCATGCTCTTATTGGTGTGAAGATGCACTTCTAGTATGAAACTCTGGACATGTGTCACATTTGCTTTTTCCAAACATGTCAATTTTCTACCCGTCAACCAAATGCCCTTTTGGCTTTTCCCCCTGCCTCAGACATATCACTACGCCCTCTTCCTTCCCTACAATAACCCCACACTCAACCTGACCACCTGCTTCCTATCAGCCTAGTTGTACATACTGTGTATATCGGTTCATTTTTACGTGTTTCAGATTCCTACAATTTTAGTTTTCGGTCTACCTGTACCTCCACCTGGCTGGCTGTCTGTCTATACCTGCCTGTGATCATAAATCTTAAAAACAATCTTAATTTTTGACCTAAACAATCTACATTTGAGACCTTACCCTGTTACAATTGTCTTCATTATTATCATGTCAAACTTATGAAATCAGACAAATCCTGCATCCACATACATTACGGCTTAAATTTGACCATCAGTCAGAACATCCACACCGTAAAGACTAACTAGGATCGTTACATTTAAAGAAAAAACCCCATTCAAAATATTATTTGAGCAGAAACTCGTTCTACACATCTCTTGGATGACTGTGTTACTCTGTGGGAACTGAGTGTGCGAAGTCGTCCTTTCAGAAATCCCGGTAATGTGTTTGTTTGCTCTTAAATATTCCTGCACAAACAGCTTCAGCAGGAATGGTAAATAGTGTCCTGAATCCTGTTTGTAAATGATAAACAAGGTTACGTCTGGGTTTATTCTGCCTCATTACATTGAGCTATTACACCACAATGCATTTACTCAGCTGGGCTGTGAGGAACACTGAGAGCAAGGGCGTCTCTGTGTCGTTCATTAATGAGGATTTGTTGTGTTTGTCTCATCTGAAGTGAAACAGGATCCTGTTTACTCGTCAGCTCAACACTGGATTAAACAGGGCGTTTAAAAAATGACATATTATGGTAATATCCAGGTTCATATTTGTTTTGACTGCCTCTCTGCTTTAATGTTCAAAAAGCTCTTTATTTTTCTCATACTGCCTGTGCTGCAGCACCTCTTTTCACCCTCTGTCTGAAACCAGAGCCCAGTCTGCTCTGATTGGTTAGCTGGCTGGCTCTGTTGGGATAGGTCAACCGCTTAGAGATGTCCCGCCCCTTAGCCTATCAGGCACAATGTGTTGGAGCGATAGCCAAAAGAAGCGCAAGTTTTAAAAAGTGATGTCGCTATGTTCACGAAGTAAACAAAGGACTCCAATGGAGGCATTTCAGGCAGGAATGTGTGAGAGAACTTTGGGATCTTTGCAAACCATTTACGTGCATTAAAAACCTATATAACACACTACAGGAAAGGGAGAACCCCAAAAAGCATTAATAGGGCCTCTTTATTGACAGCTGAGTGGTGGAAGCTCATGAAAAAGACATACAACACAGAGTTCTTACGGTCATTAAAAACCTGGAAAAGTCATGGAAATTCAAAATGCAAATTCCAGGCCCTGGAAAAGTTATGGAAAACAATATTTTCCCCAAAGTTTTTGGAAAAGTCTAAAGTAAACAACTAAAGTTGCATCAAATATAATTTATATTTTATCTAATCGCCAAAATAGTAATACTATAATGATAATAAAAACTGTATCGTATAGTAATGAAACGTAAAATGGCATTTCTGATGAGGTATTTTGCTGGTGAGAGATTTGAGTTGCTTTAGCGAGTAGAAGCTAGTAAGCCAACTATTTGATTTGTTTTAAATCGGCACAACATGTTTCAGACCTTATTTTCCTGTTCCAGGTTCAAATAAACCATTTTCAGTGGTACCGCTTGTCATAATCTTAGTGTTATGTCACGGTTTTAGTTTTGTCTGTCTTGTAATGGGTTTTATTTTTGCTATTCTGTTCTCCCTGTCTCTTGTCTTCCTTCCTGTGTTTTTCCTCCTGTGTCTGATTGTGTTCACCTGTTGCCCTTGTGTTTCTGCCTCCCTTACCCAGCTGTGTCTTGTCCTGTGATTACCCCTCTTTGTATTTAGTCGTGTCTTCCCCTGTGTTCCTTCATGTTGGTCACGGTCAGTTTTGGTGTTGTTGCTACCTTGTGCTACCTATGTGTTTCATGCCATGTTTTTGTTCATCAGCTTTGAAAATAAAGCTCGCTTTTTGTTTCTAGACCTTTTTACCTTTTTTTGTAGTCTGCATTTGGGCCTTACCTTTTTCCACGCATTCTAACACCGCTGAGAAAGAGTAATTGTTTTGGTCATGGAAAATTGGGTAACGGTCATGGAGAAGTCATTGAAAATCATTGGTGAAAAAGTGTATGAACCCTGACAAGGACCAATAAGCAGAACTGGGGTTTAAGTTTTGTTTTTTTGGCTCTTCACTGTGACCTTTACTGCGTTGTTCATTGTGTATCTTCAGAGGCAGGGGAAGCTCTTCTCTTGGACTTCATAAATACTCTCTCTGCGTCTCCGCTGACCTTCTCCCGCTCCTCGCTGCTCTCTCAGAGTTGCATTGACCCATCAGCGGCTGTCAGCCCGCATTTCTCAGCCCTTGTTGACACAGATGAACAATCGCAGTAGATTACTCAGCGGCTGCCTTCTCCACTTCCTAATCCATTTCCATGATAGCATCTATTTGCCCGGCAAGAGGGATTTCAGACATTTCTGTGTATTATTAGCCCGCGGTTCTTTCTAATGTGAAAACACGGCATCAAAGGCCATCGCTGCAGGAATGTGATGAAGGGAAATGTTACATAAAATATTTACAAGCACATGCTCGCTGGAATGTAACCCTCAGAATATTTCTCTCAATGACTAATTGTGGCGGGATGAAAGCACTTTGACACTTAAACTTGCTTTCTGCCTCCTTCCACAGGTGTTTTCGGGGCAGATGTGCGACGTGGTGAACGAGATCGAGCTGGAGAAGGAGCGCTGTGAGGACAGCAGCTTCGGGAACGTCACTTCAGGTCATTCTCAAAAACGTATTCTCCTCTGTTTTTAGAGCATGCAGGAGGCTCTTTAGAGGGAAATGGGAAAGGGAATAAGTGAATAAATAGTGAGGTAGAGTAATAACGGACGGATAAGGCTCTATTACAGCAGGCAGGCCACAGTTTCTGCAGAGACATATTGCTTTTATTTATTATACGAATGCATGCTCGAACAGTCGCCTGCTGTGGAGATTGACTTTCTGATTTACTACTCAACAGTACACTCAAATATGTTTTTGAAAACAATTCAGGTAAGGAGAACAAGACGGGTTTAATCACTGAGTTCATTTGGTTCATATTAAGAACACTTCTTGTGCATCATTTGGCATAAATAGCTGTATTTAGTAGGCTATATAACATACAGTTTGCAACCACAGATCTTTATGATTTAATGTAATACAATCCAACAGTGCCTTATCATTGCTGCTACTTCTGATTTTATCACTGCTTTTATTCATTTGTACCTATTTCTATTTCTTTACTGCAGTGAGACACCTGCCATATTTCGTTATACCGTAGTACACATGTGTCAAACTCAAGGCCCGGGGGCCAAATCAGGCCCTTGGTGGATTTAATTTCGGCCCGCAGGATAATTTTGAATTACTATTAGATCTGGCCTGCCGGTATATTGCACGCACACCTTCACTCAATCCTGAGGGTCTCCTCAGCTCAGAGCCTGAGCCCAAACATTGATGAACTTGCACCCAAGATGAGATGCCAAGTATCTGGCTTGAACTAGCATCACAGAGCAGCACACTGAGTTTACATGGATGTTTCCTTCTGCACTTTTTCTCTCACGACAACAGGGCATGTTTGGTTTGTTCTTTGAGGGAAATAGTTTTGTTGAAGCTGTTGTTGGCCTGTGGAGAAATGTAATCATAAGAAATGACTCTGGAGAAGCTGCATATAGAACCATGAGAAATGAATGCAGCTGATTATTTAATGTTTAATGTTGTTTTTATAGACAATAATTTAAGCTGTGTTTGTTCCAGGTTTAATATGTGCAATAAGTTCATTTCAATAAGTTCTGCAATAAACATTGAACCAGTCCGGCCCTCGACTAGTTCCCATTTTTTTATTTTGGCCCACTGTGTATTTGAGTTTGACCCCCCTGCCGTAGTATGATGACCTTAAAGATATTCTGATAACCACTCAGTCATGTCAGGCTATATTTGGTATATAGTATTAAGGTTGTAGGGGAATTAAGAAGGTCCTAATATTGCTGTGTACATTTGTTTTAAGTTAACTAGCATTGTGGGAACCCTAATTCCAAAAATAGAATACCTTTAATCACAATAAGACTAACAACTAACATTGAGCGCCGACCATCATTTTTTACATTAAGGTAGATTTGAGTGCATATAAATCAACATTTTGCATGATCTGTGATAGGCGTAGTGCCTCACAGCTGTAATATCTGCATCTATAATATGTGTAGGCTGTTAGAAGAAAGTAGTGCACTTGCCAAGGACACAACTTTTTATTTTTTATTCCCAGTCTGCACCTTGAATGGAGGTCTAATATTTAAAAACACCTGAGTGTGCAGGGCCGTTAAAACCACGAGGGGAGGAGGTTTCATATAATATAAGGTTAAAGCAAAAATATAACCTTGGACGAGGTAATAATGGTATTTCTAGACACTATTGTCACTCAAGGTGATGGAAATAGGAAGGATAACATGTCATGATTGAAGGGAGAGTTACACACTGGGAATAAGTGTGTATATATAATGTATACACACACTCCGACCTTCCCTCTGAACGAGCATGCTTCAGTAATATCTCCATTTGGTCTCGTTTTAATAATACACGGGGATTGCGTGAGTGGAAGCAGCTCCTTCTTATCTCTGCAATCATTTCTCTGCTATCTGCTTCCTCCACAGGAAGGTACAGGTCACATCTCTAATAAATGAATTAGCAGTGTGCATTTGTGAGAAACCATACATTAAGTTATGCAACGTATTCAATATAGAGATTGTCCAGCAATTCCTTGAAACAGAACAGGTCGTAAATTAATATTTCCTGACAGGTTGTGTACTTTAAAGCTTAGGGATTTAAACCTGTGTTTCCTCCTGTTCATATGTTGTGGAACATTTAAAGATTACATTTTTATTTAACTACATTTTGTACAACATTCATAACACAAATCAACATGTCTGCAATAAATGTTCTTCCTCTTAACGCTGAACAAGAGCTCCGCAGTGTGCGTCATGAATGACCATGATTTATTCCTGTGTGTGTGTGTGTGTGTGTGTGTGTGTGTGTGTGTGTGTGTGTGTGTGTGTGTGTGTGTGTGTGTGTGTGTGTGTGTGTGTGTGTGTGTGTGTGTGTGTGTGTGTGTGTGTGTGTGTGTGTGTGTGTGTGGTGTGTGTGTGTGTGTGTGTGTGTGTGTGTGTGTGTGTGTGTGTGTGTGTGTGTGTGTGACAGACAGCATGAGTGATGCCATGTTAACGATGTGTCTCCTGCTGCAGGGTGCCAGGGCATGTGGGACATCATCGCCTGCTGGCCCTCAGCCAGCGTCGGGGAGGTGGTTACAATAACCTGCCCGACCTACTTCAGCTACTTCAGCGACGAGCACAAAGGTAGACAAATCCTCCGTTATTTAATGTAAACACAACATGCTTTAAGAATATTTTCTCAGTATTATGTTCAATATTAATTGAAAGTGAATAAAAGTTCAATATTAAAACTATTTCATCATTAGATTTGGGAAAATGTTCTTCAAGCCGACATATTCTGCTCATTTTCAGGGTCATATTAGTATTGAGTGTCTCTACTGTGATGTTTTTCTATGCTTTAATGTTCATAAAGGTGGGATTTTAGCCTTTGGAGACTAGGAAACCCCCAAAAGCAAAATAGGGCCTCTTTGATTAAAATATCTGTAATTTAATAGTGCTGTATTTTGAAGCAAACAAGCCTATAGGCGCTAAAACTGTACCGTGTGCTGTCATTTTGCTAGGAGGACAAGCGTACAATTTATTATAATTTTGTGATTGTTTCATATTGAAAATTAGCATACAAGTGAAGCCCCTTGGTCAATACTGGAGATTTAATGTGTCGCCTCCTGTGGACATCAGGAAAGCAATATGAGAAAGGGTGCAGAAAGCCCGGGGCGGACAATATCCAATCATGAGCCTCTTTGATATTTACCGGAATAATCTGTAAACACTTCAGAACTTGTGTGCAATATTTAAAAGAGTGAGAATAATGGACCACCCTTAAACTCTTATCTAGCAGTGCTTTAAATAACATCACCTCACTGGGATTGACCGTATGAACTAGTGAGGTGCTTCAAGAGAAACGCAGATACAAATGACAGATATTGGGAGTTTTCCTCGAACCCAGGATAACAGCTAATCCAGGTTACTGTAAACAACATGGAGTGTTTACGTGAGCCAGATTGAAAAATGCCAGGGTAAACTCGGTCACAGATTACAGTCGGGGTTTAAGAAAGCACGAAGCTCTTCCTCTAACCTTTACTTTGGAACGAGCCCAGGCACAGAGGACGACTCGAGATAAGAAAGAGTAACATTCGAAAAATGCTTTGTTGACTCACCTTTTATCTAGGACTCTTTTTTTCCTACGCCATTTCAATCTTGTAAACTCTTCATTGCTATCTTCTCTCGTGCATTTCTGACATTTGCCTGTGTCCTTGTTTTTCACTCAACTCCTACGCTGCCTGCAAATCAATTCCTGAGACGCTTTCAATAGAAACACACCTTTGTCTAAACTAGCCTCCATTCTTCGCTCTGGATCCTTTGTGACAGAAGTCGTCGCTGACGTCACCATTGATCTGTTGGAGCGGTGACTCAGCAATTATTAGTCACTTTCAAGACGTAATTGTGTGTATTTTTTTGACTTTGTTAGGGATATATAATAATAATGCATCATATTTTTTATTAGAGCGCTTTTGCAGGTGCTCAAAGCGCTTTACAATTACACATTACACATATTAGACGTGTAAGAGTCATTGCTGTGGACATTACCCACAGGAGCAAATTCGGGTGAAGTGTCTTGCCTAAGGACACAGTGGCGGCCGAGGCGGGTTTCGAACTGGAGTTCACCAACGCCCCTTGATCTGATGATCGACGCTCTAACCCACTGCGCCAAAATCACCCCTATGTTTGTGTTTTGCGTCTATGTGCCTTCTCGTCATCCTTTTGTATGAAATTGTGACTTATTTCCTGTGCATATGTTGACGAGAAAGAGGCAGACAATGAAAATGGAGAAGTCATTTGAATGGGTTTGAACTCTTTTAAACCTCACTTGAACATTAAAGCATGGCAACAGAGGAACAAAACTGAAATGTGAACCTGAAAATGAGTGAGATATGTCTTCTTTAAAGACCTATATTTCGCACATCCTCCTGATACATCTGACCCGTTATTCCCTCCAGATATCTCCTCCCCTCCATCAGCAGACACTTTGCTATTCTCACTCATTATCCAATTTTCAAAGGGCGGCCATACTTACAATCTTGTGGCTGACAGTGGGAGGCGTGTGGTGCAGTGGGTCGTGCGTTGGTGTTCGGATTAGGAGGTCACAGGTTCAAACCCCACAGCAGTCAGCATGTCGTTGTGTCCCTGAGACACTTCACCCCAAATTGCTCCTGTGGGGATTGCCCACAGTATTGAGTATGTAAGTCGCTTTGGATAAAAGCGTCTAACAAGTAACATGTAATGTAATGTAATAGTGATCGTGACACTTTGTACAGGTTGAATCCACACTGAGAGCAAAAGCCACAGCCATGAATTTCATATAATTGAAGATCAGGTTATTACAGTGAACCTCTGTGATTGAGCACAGCATGAACATCAGTTTTCTGACCCAAATAATCTCTTCTTCAGGTCATTTTCTCCTCTGCTCCTCTCAGAGTCATTTCAAATCTCTGCTGAAGGATATCCATTTCTTCTTTTCATCGCCTCGGAGATATTTCTCTGAGCTTTTCACCTGCTCCTCTGCCTCTTTGACCCAGCAGGTCAATAATCTTTTCCATTTACTGAGAGAAGTGCTATAATCCAATTCTTCGTACTATTGGAGATGGGCTGATGGGCCCTTTACGGCTGTGCTACCTTATAGATATAATATATAGATCATAGACCCCCTGTGGGGAGGTGATTGAGATACTAATATTGCACTTTTTCAGGTTAAAAGGGCAGATTTTCAGACGGAAATACTTTTCAGACTTCTCAAAGTAAAGTATAATCCCCCTCTCTGTACACCTCTGTGTTAACACCTGCAGGTCCTCGTAATTATTTCAATAATGCACTTCAATATTCCCATTTTCTGTGTGCGCTGAAAAGGCAAATCCATCACCTCTTTAACAGCCAGTCACATTTTAAAAATGGTGCATGTCCCCAGAGCCATTTGAGCTCACTGAAGCGTGAACTTTTTTTCTTGCAGCACTCATGGAGGCATTAACACCTCGGAGTCAAACTGAAAATTAGAGACTCAGGGAAATGTAACACTTCAAAGATAGAGATGCACTTTAAACCTCACGTGTACTGAAGGGCAGCCGGGAGGCGTTTAAAGCCGTGGGCAAAAAACAAGATAAAAATGCTTCAAACCAGAGATGAGACGGCCACAGAAGTTGTTAAATTGTTAATTGGAGCCATATTCTGTTCATTTTAAGGTTTCATATCCGTAGTTTGACATGTCTCCATGCTTTAATGTTCAAAAAGCTCTTTATTTTTCTCATACTGCCTGTGCTGCAGCACCTCTTTTCACCCTCTGTCTGAAACCAGAGCCCAGTCTGCTCTGATTGGTCAGCTGGCCGGCTCTGTTGTGATTGGTTAACCTCTTAGAGATGTCCCGCCCCTTAGTCTATCACTTACAATAGGCGCTTTCACACCGGAGTACTTTTTTTTTATAATTCCGATATAGTTCCGAAAATGTGCGTTCACACCAAAAAAATCCGGAGCTAGAACTTATTTCATGAGAACCTTTTTACCCCCTTTTCAGTCCCTGCTAGAGAGCAGGTACTTTCATGGGAGAAAAAGGTTCCCATTTCTGATTGGCTGGGCGGATTGCAAACCACGCCCCATAAAACTCAAAAAAAGTTTTGTGAAGCCGCCATTGTATTTGCTGGCATTAGCATTATTAGCATTAGCATTAGCCCAGCGCACAAACGAAGAGAGACTAACTTATGGCAACACAAAACAAAACATGGGAGCGGTGGAGATGAGGAGGTGTCGGTGTTCTGGCGATTTACTCGGAAGGCTTCAGTAGAAGCTGCTGGGAGTCCCAGCAGCTTCTACTGAAGCCAGTCCCCAACTCCGGGGACTTCCGGCCGGGGACTTCGGGTGGCAGTATACGCCGTGAAGTGGTTTGCGGCCTGCCAGTAAACCCAAAGCAGAAGAAGACGAAGTGACGTCAGCGGCTTCATTTGCCTAATCCTTCCCCAGGAACTTATTCCGGTGTGAACGCGATCGGCTCTTTAGTTCATCAGAACTCTTTAGTTCATCAGAACTCTTTAGTTCATCAGAACTAAAGAGTTCTGATGAACTAAGTTCTCATGAACTAAGTACGACAAAATGCCTAATGTGTTGGAGCGCAAAGGGACAACCCCCTATAATATTGTGAATATTTCTATTAAATATCAAATCAAATCAAATCAAAGTTTATTTATAAAGCACATTTAAAAGCGATTTTTGGTCGGGCCAAAGTGCTGTACATGTAATAAATACTACAATACAAAATATATCTTGTATCATGCTTAATTTTGCCTTTGATTCTCATGGTTTGTCTTTTTGAGCAGGTCAGACACTCACATGATACTATCTCAGTATAATATTGAGGCTTTAATAAGAAATAATAGTAAGTGTTATGTAATTGGGGGTGCTCAAAAACATTCCCAAAAACATTCCCTTAAAAATAAACACCAAAATCTGCATTCATAGTTTTGGGATCTATATTTCCCACTGAGGCAGAACTAAACGGATAGATAACAACTGCCTAATTTGTTCTATCAACTAAAATTAAATATATAAAGTTTGTTTATTTTGAAAGTTTGGTCGGACTTTGTGTTCTGACAGTGATAAATCATCCAAGCAATTTGTTTACATTTGCATTTAGAGTACAATTTTTTATTATCAACGACACCTCAATCTCAGTTTTCACATCCCAGGACAATATCCATCATTTTTCTAAACATTTACAATAACCACTGCTTCCTCCCCAAAGGCACCTGCACATTTAAGCACATGAAGCTGGGGAGTTAAAGAAATTAATAAGATACGGTTATGCCCTTTAAAAAAAAAGAAGAATCATATGGGCGTCTGAAGGGTCCAGATGGTATATTTTCAAAGCTGTCCTACGTGAATCCATCCTTAAATAATTAACAGGTGTTAAGATGAAGCTGAATTTGAATAGCTGCACTCGTCTCGTTTTATTAAACTAGGTAGTGAAAGTCTTCCCTGTCATACACATAGTCCATAATATTCATGAACCTTTTATCATATGGAGTTGAAGATCTTTTACTTAAAGGTCCCTTGTCATGCTTTTCTGGTTATTACCCGTCCCCTTGTGTGTTATGAAGGTTTTTCTGCATGTAAACAGTCTGCAGTGTCACAAACCCTCAAAGTACACCCTGTAGCGAGTAAAACTCTAACACAGAAAAGACCTGTCTATGCTGCCCCAGAACGCCTCGTTGGAGATTTCTCTTTTTCCATTGTTTACTTCTTGGGTATAGTGACGTATTTCGGGTATAGTGACGTAACGTAACGTCTGCGGAGCCGTTACGTTTGGACCAATCCGCGGACTTCCTCACACACACACACTCGGCAGGACGTTGCGAGGCTCGCTGCTGCGAGGAGCGGGACACTGTGGTGTGGGGTCAGTGAGACAGCGAGACAGCGAGACACCGCGGAACTCAGCCTTGGCACACACACAAACTCCCAGCCAGGCTGCGGGTGTGTGTGTGTGCCCAGGCTGAGTTCCGCGGTGTCTCGTGTGTCTCGCTGTCTCGCAGACGGCCACTGGGCTCACAGGGAGGGGGGGGGCAGGAGCTCCAACAAGCCGTTTAGACCAGAGAGTGAATACACATACTATACAGAGATGCTGTTTGAGAAACCAATGTGAGTTTGGAAAATTGCACAATATAAATCTATTTTAGTATACCTCAACAATGGAATTATGATCAGTAGAAATGGCCATGACATGGGACCTTTAAAAAACTAAATTAACATGATTTTTGTTTCCCTGGTTTAGCTATCTCGTTCACTTTCTTTCTGACTCACTTTTGGATTCTCTATCTCTACACATAAACTGAGGCACGTTGACATGCTGAGCTTTCTCCTGTTTGACATTTCCAGGTTAAGAGGACACTCGTGAAGTCTGACTAATGTGACCTGAGGGAGCAGAATGAAATGTTCTGTCTACTTGCCAACTTAGTCATCTGATAAATGACCATACCTTATAAAATGTCCTAGAGCGTTAGCAGATATATCTGCTGGATGTGTCTCACTCAATGTACTGACAGGTTTTCCACAGAGATGACCAGCGAAAAGCAAACTTCCTCCTCTGCTATGGCAGGAATGAGAAGAGCTTTACTTAAATTCAGACTCACAAAAGTCATGTTTAAGGGTTAAGAATCTTTTTCAAATGTTAAGTGTCATGAGCAATACATTTTCTTATCCCAAACCAAAGGCACCATAATGTTCATTTGTGTTGCAAACATCAAATATTGAAGCCAGTATGGGTCTCAAAAATTCAATATTCAATCTTCCAGAGCTGGAAACTAGAGTGCTGGCAGGACAGATCACTGCATGCTTCAGAGACATGCTGCTCTTCACATGAAAACAAAGCAAAGCCTTGAGAAGAAAAGAGCCCTTACAATCCAGGCATGTGGTAAAAGCTCTTTCAATATACTGATTGTGAAATGTCCTTGAGTCAAGGTCTTCCAAGACCTACACATCCATGAAATAGGTTATTATAAGACTGAATTGAAGATAAAATAAAAGAGAAGATGACGGGAAAATATTGTATAAAGCAACCAAAGAAAACAGTCACATGACCTCTCCCTGACACACACTAACCTCCTGCTGCTTCCCTCTGCAGCTCATCGCCTCCATATGAAAGCTTTTAGTCCTAATTTGCTTCTTTTACACGCTCTGAGCAATTTGTCTGTCGGTCACATTTGGGTTGACGTCTAATTTGGGTCAATCTGTCAACATAAAACCCAGGTACAGCACAAATAAATAACCCCTTAAATAAATACCATGTATAAACCAAATCACCGACTTTCTGTAGCTCTTCACAGAGTGATTCATCTGCAACTAAGTTCAAATTGCCTTGGCGAGGGAAATAAAAGGTTATTCCTAATGCATCTAATCTTTATTTGCTGTTGAGTGATAACGGAAGAACCAGAATGTCAACACCTGTAACAGCCAAGTGGCTTTCTGCAAAAACACATCACGCACAAGTCATTAATGGCTCAGATGGGTGGGAGAGAGTCGTACAGAAGCTTGTGGAGTTTGAGGTTTTGCAGTGTTTTTGACAATGTCGCAGTAGCCTATGTGTCAAAGTAGTACATGGAGCAATTTTAAACTAACTTTGTGAGCAGGTCAAAAAATAAATCTAGTCTCTAGGTGGCTGTGACCCATTTATGTCATTTCTATCTCCAGGTAACCTCTCCAAAACCTGCACAGCAGATGGCTGGACTGAAATGCATCCTATTGACATCGCCGTGAACTGTGGATACAATCTCAACAGCACCAGCGACGATGTGAGTAAAAACACTGCAGCCTATAAGACGCCTCAGTAAAGATACCCAGTTGTGTCACATTGTGAATGAACCGCGCAGTACAGCGGGAAATCACCTCGAGACCCAGTGGGCAGGAAGAATTGAATTAGAAAACATCCTTTCTTTTCTCTGCGGGTGGTCGCTGTAGGTTGTTGGTTTCAATACTCCAGTGTTTGTTATGAACTGCCTCAATGACAGGGTGGAATACAAGTAGGCTAGCACAAGAGGTACAGAACGGTATTAAACAGTTGTCATTTAAATTGTACTATAGATGGAATAAACCAACATCCAGAAAGAAATGTGATGCTTATTGAAGACATTTGTTGTCGGAAATGTGCTTGTTTGACGTTATTTAAAAGAGTGAGATGACTTGGATTGTGTTTTAAGTAGAGTTGCAGCAATTAGCAGCGTTTAGCTTAGCCTAGCTTAGCGGAACTGTCCATGCTAATCCTTTGATAAGTATTGTAATTTAAGTTTTACTTTTGGTGGAATAAACAGCGACTTTCTGTACACATCCAGAAAGAAAATTGAGTTTAATTTAGGAAATATACTGTGGTACATTTGCTTTGTAGCCAAGAGTAAAATGATTAGATCAATACCACTCTTGTGTTTTAAGTAAAGAGCTAGCTGGCAGTTAGCTTAGCCTAGCTCGGTACACAAATTGAGGTAGAGGGAAACATTAGTTCTGCATCTGTTTCAAGCTCAACAATAAGTTAACCAGCAACTGTTAAGCTCACTATTTAACACAATAAACATGGCATGCTAAAAAATTTGAACTGTAGTCAATGATTATGTTTAACTTTTGAGACAGCCTGCTTCCTGTCTAGCTTAGTCTAGCTCAAATAAGTGTGCTCTGTTTTAAGGGGCAGTGAAAACAAGCTGTCAACACAACTTTCATAAATGATCACTTTGTTTAGTATTTATGGTATTTTTCAGTTTTGTTTTCTGGCAACCAGATGAATAAAAGTCCAATATTCACTCTCCACACATACTGAGGGGAATATGTCTCTTTAGTAGCTAAATGCTCCTCTGTGATCAGTAATTAGTCGCCAACTGTTAATACTGTCTGCTCTGAAAGACTGAGGAGAACTGCAGGGTCAGATGATTATTTTCTGTTAGTTGGTACTGCGAGTGACTCATTCCAGCTTTTATCCTAGTTTAATTACAAATAAAATTTTAATTAATCCACTTAAACTCACAGAAAAGAGTGGTATTGAACTTAGGGCAACACAAGTTGAACTATTCCTTTTACGCTTGAACATTTAATGACTTAAAAAGCGAAAATATTCTCAAATGAATAAACCAAGAATTCATTTTTGCTGAGGCATGAAGCAAAACACACTTTTTTATTAACAATGGCAGATCCGTTCATAATTCCTGCCTCAGTTATCAGCATTACCAGTCATTAGGGGTTATTCATACTGACTTCAGGGCTAGAAATGGAATAAATACATCAAATATGTTTCATTTGAATGTGGAGTTTACTAATGTGGGTTAGCTGGAGCAGGGTGGAAAATGGATGTGCGCTGCAGGGTGGTAAAAGCTTTCTTGTTGGGCACTCAGCTCTCTGAGACTCATTAAATGCCACATAGGAAGTCAGGAGGGACCCGGCTGGTGGAATACACTAAAAGGAATTCGATGTTGGCCTTTCTGCATACTTTATATCTCAGTATGCAGAGTTTTTAATCTTATTTTCACCCAGCATTTAACATACAGTACAGTGCAATGGCAGCGACATTGTGAAGATATTATGAAAAAATGCTCCATATGTGGTGAAGTAAGATGAATGAATCTAGTTTTACTGATTGTTTAAACACATTTTATTAGCTTGAAAAATCTCACTTCAACGTTCACTTATTGAGTATTTATTTTAGCAAAATCTAATTGAACTATCAAAGTAAAGTTTAGTTCTGTTAGTCGAGGTGGAGATCGTTCTTTCCATATGATAAGGTTGTTTATTTACACATTAGACAATGCAAACTCTTTCGTTTCGGTTTCCTTCACTGTGACATGTTTCCTTTTCTTCAGGGCAAGTTTTTCTGGCAAGTGAAGATCGGCTACACCATCGGCCACAGTGTTTCCCTCATATCTCTGACCACAGCTATTGTGATCCTCTGCATCTTCAGGTACGTAGTAACACAGTCACATATAATCATCTTAAAGAACTCGACTCAGGTTTCCTCATCGGGAACAATCACAATTCTCAATTTATGCAGAGAAAGTTACACAAAAACACAGTTTTCACTCTTGAAAGCAGTTCAAGAAATTGCATCTTTTTCAAATCTCTGTTGTTTCCTTGCTTTGTTGTTTATAAGAAGGATAAGAAGAACAAAAACCGTCACCGCTGCAAGACCCCGAGAGCATTAGCATGAGTCATTTCCCATAAAGCACGGTGACATTGACAGTATGTCTGCCGGCACACTGACAAGATGACAGCTTACACATTTCAGTGTCGCACATCAAACACTGAGAACTGGGATGTGATCATATCTGATCAGTGCAGCTTTAGGGCTTATGTTAAACTATAAAAGACAAGAAGAACGAGGCGAACACTTTCAGACCTGATGATCCTTTCATGCATTTCGTAGGTCACAGATCTGTTGATTGCACGTGTCTGCAGATTGACATTTAGTGAGATTAAGGAGACTGATGTTTGATATGTGACAATTCATAAAATCCTCACAAAGTCACAGTTTTGATGTTGACTCACAGCTGCAGATAGCAGTTTAAGTGCATGACTTAATAAACCTATCTTTATTGAATGACGTTTTTAAACCTCCGTTGTAAACTTTTAAGACCTTTTATTGTCTTGGATTGTGTACATCTGTGCACTTTTCCCACATTGTGATGGGAAATCCCTACAGACAAACTATGTGTAAAGTAATGATTTGTTTTACTCGCGTCATCTCCTTGAAGTCGAGGCCAAACTAATGTAATGCAACAATCATTTTCTTTCTTCCATCCTACCGTCCATTCTCCCCTGTATACCCACGTCCACAGGGAGGGTATAGGAAACAGGAAATTGCTTCTGCGGTAGCATTTTTATTTATGGCTCTTGTTCTGCGACTGTGTGAGTCACAGATCAGAGCTCCTTTCCATGTTCTTCACAAAGGTGTGAATCGCCTGACAAGAGTTTTGTTTTCCACAAGCCACGCAAAGGTCAGGATAAAAAAATAAATAAGGAAGTGTGGAAGTGTGAAATCAAGATGTAACAACAGGTTTGAAGCAGAAGGACAGTTGTGATCGGGCAGTGGGAGGTGACGGGAACAGAGTGTGTGTTGGTGGGGACAGAGTGTGTGTTGGGTGTGTTGGTGGGGACAGAGTGTGTGTTGGGTGTGTTGGTGCGAACAGAGTGTGTGTTGGTGAGATGTGGAGAGTCACACCACAGATTACAGGCAGGGAGAAACACCATGACAGTTTTCCGAGCTCTTGAGGAAAAAGCTTTAGAGAGCAGACGTCTTCAACAACTTCCTGTCTTTGATTCGCTAGCTTCTGCAATCTCTCATTCTGCATGTCTTTATTTCTGAAAAGGAAGCATGTTATTGTGGGTTACTTCCTGTTAAACAAGTACTTTATTGATTTAATTATGAGCTAAAATTGAAAAATAATGTCTATTGTTTTATGGAAAAGTATTAAAGATCTGTGGCCTGCGTAGTTATGGAGATGAAATGTCACAGTTGCCACCAACATAGACACAGATAATTACACATGTTTCATGAGCCTCTCCTCTCTCAGTATGTGTCTGATCAGAAATATTTCGGAGGGAAGGTTTCACATTGACATTGCAGCGGCTGTTAAACAGCAGAGACAGAATGTTAACAAGCTCTCCGGGCTGTGTGATAAGGTTAGATAAAACTTTAATGACTCCTGGGGGGGGCGTTTCTAAAGTGATGGTGCATGTGCTGCATCAATGCTCAAAACAAGCACAAACAAATGATGTGAGCCAATGGCAGCCTCCACGCAACTGCAGACATTTGCACCCATCTGTCGGTCTCTTTAGCACTTCAAGGTTTTTAATTAGTCATTGTAAATACACTTCCCTTGTCTTTGAGGTGCGTGAAGGAGCATTAAAAACCAAAGCAGACCCAACCACACAGTGATAAAAGAAGCTAATGTGCTCAATTATGAGTGTAGTCAGTCTTTAATTTGATGTCATTTAAAGCTATTAACTCCAAGGACATTGGATAATGAGCATGAAGGGCTTCTTCTTATCGAATTGTGTTTGCCCTTTGTCTGGTGATCTGTATTCTTGCACTGTGCATCGCAGGAAGCTCCACTGCACGAGGAACTACATCCACATGCATCTGTTCGTGTCGTTCATCCTGAAGGCCATCGCCGTCTTCATCAAGGACGTCGTCCTCTACGAGGTCGGCGAGGTGGACAACTGCTCCTCCTCGGGCTCCGTGAGTTCATCGCCGTTGTTTTTGTCGCTTCATGTGTTTGAGTTTTGGGGATTCTTGTTGTCCTTGATCCCAGGAGTCAAGCGCCTAAAGTAAAAATGTCACAAGTAGGCTAATTATCCACATTAAACCACCATTATAAAGAGACCCTCAGTTCAAATGGGGATACATAAAAATAGGCATGCCATTCTGGCTCTCTGTCAAAAATGATGCAGTAACGCTACCCCATTTGACACTCCATCGACCCCTCACTTCGAGACACTTGAACTCCCTTCACGTTGGTTACGTAACCTAAATTACATACATGTAGTAATTTGGCTTACATAAAGAAAGCTATGGTCAAATAACTAAACTTGTCCAGGAGAGGCACAAACCCCTCGTCTCCTGGATTAAAATCAGACTTTCAGTTTAAATGTTTCTCTCCCATCATATTTACTACGGCTGCTCGAGGCAAAACATATCACCACAATGCTGATAACTATGATAATAGCGTTTTAATAGGCCTATTCTACTCAAAGCGTGTTCATTAAACAGTGGCAGAAGATGTTAAACACACAGGCTGCCAGGCTTACAAGCCATTTATGCTCAGAGTTATATCACCCCCACAGTGTTTGGATGTCTTCCAGTCAGCGTCACCACCAGCAGACCCTTGAGGCCCCTGAGGCCCCCCCGAACACGAGGTTTACGTTACATGATGCGGCTGCACGACCAGAGGAGCCTCTGAGTGTGTTTAATAGCGGCTGGCTCCATTGTGTTGACACGAGCCAGCTGCTGTCGGGTAAAAAACCCATTATAGAGACAGTTTTGGTGCTGCGGCGCTCATCACGACCCCCGACATAAAACCATAAAACCCCCTTGTCCTTAACCTTTTGCATATCCCCCTTTTACACTTCCTTTGCCCTCCTGAACCCTTAACATATGTCTCTGTTAAACACATACAAGACTACAAATACAATTTAACAGAGTAAAAGGCAATCAGAGTATAAGACTATATGTTTGAAATGATTATATGATCATTTGACAGCAATAACAGTCCAGATAATATCATTGTCGGCAAACAATATATTCAAATAGATGATCATAATGCACATATTGTCCCGACATTACTTCCTTTACCACAGTTGGCTCAGTTTCAGCCGCTCTGTGTGTGTGTGTGTGTGTGTGTGTGTGGTGTGTGTGTGTGTGTGTGTGTGTGTGTGTTGTGTGTGTGTGTGTGTGTGTGTGTGTGTGTGTGTGTGTGTGTGTGTGTGTGTGTGTGTGTGTGTGTGTGTGTGTGTGTGTGTGTGGTGTGTGTGTGTGTGGTGTGTGTGTGTGTGTGTGTGTGTTGTGTGTGTGTGTGTGTGTGTGTGTGTGTGTGTGTTGTGTGTGTGTGTGGTGTGTGTGTGTGTGGTTCGCCCCCGTAGTGACCACATCAGATTAATTCATGATATCAACGCTGTGGGGCAGGCTTATAACGAATGCATTATTGAAGGTGGCAGTGTGTGTGGCATCCTTCCTCCACATGCCGTTGAAGGAAGGCTTTATGTACCAGTGTGCACGCATTACAAATAGCATATAGGTAGAGACAGCACATATTCCTCCCCCATGAATTCATAAAGACTACCGAATACCTGCTTTAATGAGACCTCCATATGGGAGCTCCCAGAAAAACACAGAGAGCTTAATGTATTATTTATATCAGAATACCGTTATTAGTCCCACAGAGGGTGTCAATTCCACCAGTTTTTTTATTGATTCAACAAGTCCACCCATCAGACATTTATGAGAGGTGCATTTATTCATGCGGGGGGGGAAGTTTACACTAAGAGACAGTGCCTACTCCCATTAATAATAACAGTAGAAGAAGAAGAAGTTCTGACAGGTGGCGTGACAATATTACTCTATTTGGTCATTTCAGTTTTTCAGCTGAATGATTCCCCTGAGTTGATTGAAGGTAATTAAAGACACCTGTTGGCTCCTAATTAAGAAGCAAGCTCGTGGCCAATCAGAGTGTGGCTAAATTCAGCAGAACCTGTAGGACAGTATTCCTGTTTTTAGACACTTTTTGAGGCGTCTTTTGCTTTTTCTGATTAAACTAAGTGCATCAGGAGAGGTATTTGTGTAAATTGTGTCAAATGTTAAGACCGTTATGTATACGTATTCTTAGCATTACATAATTTGTAAAAAGATACATCTTTATTATACAAAAACGTAGCACTGTCCTTATGAAAAAAATACTCTTAATAATAATATTTGCAAGTTCTGTATTCAAACTTTGACTTGAATCCAGTGAGATAAGTAGGGACAGCATTATATACTTCATTACTGCCAAAAAGACAGTTGTTAATTTCGATATTTGATGTGTTTTTTATACTACTAGATTGTTTAATTGTATAATAAATGGAATCATTCTCTGCAAAGTATACCGAATGAATGTTATGACCTTTTGAAATGTAGTATAGTAGCATACAATACTCAAGTTAACCCTCCTGTTGTCTTCGTTCCCCCCCCCCCCTCCCCCCCCCTTACTTTGGTGTTCATGGTCAAATTTGACCGGTCCTGTTTTAACTGCTATTACATTAACACAAAAACCATTAATCATCACCAAATTTAATTTAACACCCTTCCAAACTGTAAATATTGTATCAGACTACTGGTATACAAACTGCAGTAAATATACAAAGAATAGACACTGAACATGTATTGCGTGTGCCAGGTGTGATCCATGTGGGGGGATGGGCACATAAGAGCTGGAAATGTGTCAAATTGTTCTCTCTCTCTCTGTGTGTGTGTGTGTGTGTGTGTGTGTGTGTGTGTGTGTGTGTGTGTGTGTGTGTGTGTGTGTGTGTGTGTGTGTGTGTGTGTGTGTGTGTGTGTGTGCGCGTGTGTGTGTGTGTGTGTGTGTGTGTGTGTGCGCCAGGTGTGATCCACATGGGGGGATTGGGCACATAAGGGGGGGGGGGGGAACACATCTAGAGTATGTGTGTGTGTGTGTATGTTTTATCTGATCCGGATGGTTACTAATTCCTTTTCTTTATGGCGGTCACCATGGGTGTTACAAAGTTGACTAAATCATTCAAAATTCAATGAAAGTGGTGATCAGCCATTGTATATGTTCAAAATGTCTACTGTGAAGGATATCATAAAGCCTTAATGCAATCGAATGTAAAACAAAAAAGTTATGATTGATGAAAGTAGTAAACCGGTCAGATTTGACCCGAAGACAACAGGAGGGTTAAGAATACACATGATAGTAAAAGTTTTTAAGGTCAATGTAGGGACCATTGGTTAACCCATACCCATACATATCAAACAACAATTCAACAGTAAAAAGCTCAATTTATTGTCAAGTTTGGATACAACTGACACACAGTATCATCATAGGAAACTCTTCTCAGTTATTTTCCAAAGCTTGATTGTTTTTATTTGTCCTTGCTCTGCTCTAACGTCAGTGGGTTGTTTCCGCTGTTGCCTTATTCATATCCACTCGGGTCCTTTTCCATATTTGCGTCATCTTTATTTCTCTGCTATCCACATTTCCATATCTATTCACTCCTTTCCTAATATGTCCCTGTCCTTTTCACCCTTCTCTCTCCCAATTCCCCCCGTGTCTCCCTCAACTCTCACTGCATCTGTTAAAGTGTTCACTGTCACAGGGTCGTGCTGAAATGGGCTCAGTATGGATTGTCTCTCTCTGAGATCTCCGAACAGCCTGTGCGTTGCAGCGAGTATCAGATCAGCCCACACCATTAGGGAAATAACCTTTTATCCGCATCCTTGTGTAACTAGTTCATACGCAGCCTTCAGCTTCAGGTTCGCCCGTCCCTGATGAAGTCCTTTTGCTTCTGAAGCCGTCAGCCAACCAGAAGAGAGCTGATGTGTTGTCCTGCATGGCTGTTCCTACTGTCCCTCTGCCCACTGACATATCTGATGGGTTTCTGCACTGTGCCAGCCTTTCCTATCTATTTAGTTTACATAAAACACAGTTTGATAAACAAATTCTGCATTGGTTCACTATTAAATGGTACCACTTTATTTAAGGTAATGGATATACTGTACATGTTGTGGAGATCCAGCATAACACAACAGGAAAGAATGAAACAGAGAGGAATCAATAAAACACAACACAGATATAGCTGATAAGTAATTATTATTAGTTGTTGCAACAAACCAACAATAATGGGAAGTACATCACCTGCTGCCACAGCAGCCAATCGCAGGAAATGCCCCCCAGACAAAGAAAACACAGGGCTAGATATACTTTCTAAAATGTCACACGAACATGTTCCCCAAACATGTTTAACGCACACACATTTTATCATGCAGCCAACCACACAAATGTCCACAACATGTTTTTCTCTCTGAAAGCTATACCTGTATATGTTTAAAACGTCATCATCTCATGATATCCTTAGGATTAGTTAACTAACAAAGGTTAACTGTTTTTATAACCTGAGGCCTTCTCTGCACTTCCTATACTCTCGGTTGTCAGCTCACTTAAAATGAATACATCTATTGATAATTCAGAACGACCATTGTCTCTCTAACTGTGTGTGACCCAACTCAGTAACACACATCATATGGAATACCATGTGATCATTAATGAATATCAGAAATACGCTGTATTAAACATTCTGCCATAACACTGTACATTACATTAATAATACTTTAAAATGAGTTGAGGATCCTTTAATCTGGAGGAGGAGAAATTGAATTGTTCTGACTTTGAGAAAAAGACAAATCAAGTGGTTTGGCTGCAGGAGAGTAAACAACAGTCTACTGAGTGACATCCAATTCATCATTATGCTTCATTAAAATGCCACTTAGGATAAACACCCATTATGAAACTTGTTTTGAAGCTGCTAACAGACCATAAAGCGACTACTTGTGCTGCAGAATAATCCTCTTTCGTCACCTCACTATCATTATTTCTCACGGCTCATGGATGGATTTTCTTTGAATCACATTTAATTGAACGCTCAGAGGCATGTCGGGTACTTCTCAGCGTGCTATAGGTATAGGGGACATGTTGTTGATGTGTCCTTTTCTGATGGAACAAATAGAAAAGCTGGTGCGAAAAATTGATCGTCCTATTTCGAGGTAGCATGTACCCAAAGAAAAACCGATACGTGCATTCTCCTGTATTTCAAATATGCAATTGTGCTGCTATTTTGAATTAATCTATTCTGTATTATCAATATCACTGTTCAATATTTATCCATGTGGAAAATCCTTGTGCTTTTCCAGTCCTTTCCCAGGCGGCTGGCAAGGTGGTGATTTGTGTTCTTCCAGTACTGCATAATGGCCAGCTTCTTCTGGCTGCTGGTGGAAGGTCTCTATCTGCACGCTTGCTGGCCGTCTCTTTCTTCTCCGAGAGGAAATACTTCTGGGCTTACATCCTGATCGGCTGGGGTGAGGACGCCTTCCTCATATGCCTTAATACAGCGACGTGCAGTCAGTGGAGGCAGGGGAGGCAGAGCCTCACCTGTCATACTCCTATGTAACGGAAAAAACAATTAAAGAAAAACTAAATAGTAATAATAATAAAATGTCTCCACTGATCTGTGTTGTAAGTGTGATTTCTGTATGATTCCAATCGCATTTTATAGTCAAAATCAGCAAATTTGCCGAGGCTCAGCTACGGGAGCGATGAGAAGTGAGGCAGGGACGAGCACTGCCTCACGTAAGCCCACAGTAAACTTGCTGGAGCGCGGGCACTAATTTAGCGCGGCCACTTATTTTGTGAGCGCGCTCAAGCCAGTTACTGTGGGGTGAGGTGAGGCACAGATGAGCTCTGCCTCACCTCAGAATGCGTCACCCCACAGAAACTGGCTGGAAAGCGAACCCTAAGCGCATGCCTGTTCCCATCTCACTGTAGGTCACCAATGTAATGTTTGTAGAATCCCTTTATTACATGTATCCTCGCCATCATAGTCTCTAAATAACTTATTTCACGTATATATGATATTTAGGCTCGCTGGTCTCCTCGTACAACGGCAATGAAAAAAGCACCAGGGGAGGCAGCCATAACCTCTGCCGCACTGAAGGGGGCGCACGTGAGCCCACAGGTTCTTGTTGCTACTGTTATTCTACCCGCAAACAACAAACTAGACTTTTGAAACTACAGGAAGATAAGGAGGACTTTTACAAAACAGTAATAGAGATTGTTGTCCAGAAGGATAGCATGGACTTCTATTCATCTTCAGGTCAAGGTAAGACCACAACTGTAATGAAAATGGGATCTTACTTAGAAAGAACAATCCAATATTTAGATTTTGGGTATCCTTTTGTTGATCGGTCTGTTTAAAATTAATCATAGCATCAGACTAAAAAAGCTTTTGAAAATAACAGAATATTTCGATTAAGGTCAAAATAGGCTATAATATTTGTAATCTGACTCTGAAAGAGTCAGTGCCTCACCAGCCATGAACCTCCCCGCACGTCACCTGCTTTAATACGTCTGTCCCCCCTGGGGGTGAGACACTCTTAAATCCTTCTTTTATGTCCCTAGGAGGGCCGATGGTCTTCATCACAGCGTGGAGCATCCTCAAAGCCTACTTTAACGACGTGGGGTAAGAGAAACACATCTGAGACGGCTCAGGAATTAATATCGCTTCATCCTTGCAAATTGTTCTATACAGCATACTCATATTTATTCATATCAATAATCGTCCCTTTTGTTTAATATTTACTCTCTATATTATACTGTGTTTATTAATACAAGCTCTATAGTGTGTTTAATTTCTTAACCACTGTTTATACCCATAAATACTGTTCATAGTATACTGTATATGTACAGTATACTATGAACAGTATATCTGTCATATTATATACTTGTGCTATTAAACTGCATTTTACTGTTTTCTTTTGCACTTTCTGCTTGGATGCTAACTGTTCCTGTCTCACAGTTTGCATTTTGTGCAATGACAATAATAAAAGTCATTTAATGTCATCTGATCAGGTGCTGGGATATAATCGAGAACACTGATGTCTTCTGGTGGATCATTAAAACCCCGATTTTGGCGTCAATCTTGGTGAGTTCACAAGCTTTGAGCAAATGTATTTTTAAACGTACTTGAGCTGTTGACACTGTCACAGTATAACTAATTGCCACTGAGAGCAAACACATTTATCAGTTTTTATCTCAGACTTACCTGCAGTGTAATTATCTTATTCTCATTTATATTCCTTCTGCGAGTCGAAGTCCATTTGAGAGTTTGGTGTGTCTCAAATGTCTCATTTCCCTTTGGACGGTTGACTCAGGATCAATCAGCAGACATTTCTCTGCGTCTTCATGGCAGATTTGACTTCTATTTACATTTTAAACACATTATCAGCATCTATCAGAAACATTTGAAACAGAGTTTGGAAAGAGGAATGTTTTTAATGAACATGGTGGAAATAAAGTGTGACATTAAATTAATGTGTGTGTGTGTGTGTGTGTGTGTGTGTGTGTGTGTGTGTGTGTGTGTGTGTGTGTGTGTTGTGTGTGTGTGTGTGTGTGTGTGTGTGTGTGTGGTGTGTGTGTGTTTGTGGTGTGTGTGTGTGTGTGTGGTGTGTGTGTTTGTGTGTGGTGTGTGTGTGTGTGTGTGTGTGTGTGTGTGTGTGTGTGTGTGTGTGTGTGTGTGTGTGTGTGTGTGTGTGTGTGTGTGTGTGTGTGTGTGTGAAAAGGAGGGTTAAGATGAGTTCACCGAACAGCACTTGAGGAGCTACAGAAGGGAAAAGTAAAATGACTTGGAGTAACCCAAATGACCCCAGAAGTGTTTTTTCTTTTTCTTAACCTCTCTAAAAAGGTCAAATGTCACTTGTTTTGCATCAATCTTGATACAGGGTACTTATTATATGTTATAGTTTGGATTCCTAAAGCTTTTAGTCTACTATCCCATCATTCAAGGGTGGTTTTCACTATAAGTAATGTTTCTTTTTGGACGGACACTATCATTTACATATTTTTACTATGTTCAATCTGAATTTACTTTCAAATAAAAAAAATCAATATTGATTCTGACTTTTCTACATCCAACTCACAGGTTTATCATTACTTTGAGA